GGGAAGGGAAGGGAAGGGAAGGGAAGGGAAGGGAAGGGAAGGGAAGGGAAGGGAAGGGAAGCACGGATACGAACTGGCGACCTCGGCAACGGAAGGGAAGGGAAGGGAAGGGCAGGGAAGAAAAGCACGAATTTGAACTGATGACCTCGGCAAGGGAAGGGAAGGGAAGGGAAGGGGAGGGGAGGGAAGTTCGAAGGGAAGAAAGCACGGATTCGAACCGGCGACCTCAGCAAGGGAAGGAAAGGGAAGGGAAGGGAAGGGAAGGGAAGGAAAGGAAAGGAAAGGAAAGGAACGGAAAGGAAAGAAAAGGAAAGGAAAGGAAAGAAAAGGAAAGGAAAGGAAAGGAAAGAGAAGGGAAGGGAAGAAGGGTATGTGTGTGCTGTTTCTGCCCAAGAGAAAGCAATTGAAAGGCAAAGCTCGGGAAGATGGAGGGCTGCTTATGCCCAATTTATTTTAAGAGGGTGTTATGAATGTCCGAAAATATTATATACAACGTATTGTACGTATTATACAATATATGTACTATATGTACTATGTAGTATGTATGTGATAAAACACAGAGGCGCCTGGGCCACGGAAGAGGATTGATATGCAACCAGACCTATGCAGAAGGTTAGGAATGCAAATTATAAATTTTCAATTCCCCATGCAAGCTGCAGTTTTCTGATTCATAACTACCGGAGTCAAACGGACAGCATAGAGACCTCTCATCTCAGATCTTCAGGTTTATAAATTATAACGCAGTCAAACGGAGAGCATATAAAGCTTTCAACCTGCAATCTGCGGAATATCTCAATTTTTTTCAGTATTGAATTGTTTTCGTAATTTGAGTTTTCGGCTTATTTTCGCTAATACGTCTCACAGATCACCACCATCTCTTCTCCGTTAGACTACTACTTCAGCCTGTGCTTTGAATGTGTCCACATATATGGACCCAGTTCATTAAAATGATAAAATCATTTCTATTTCCAAACACATCATATCATAAGTTGAGTTCGCTCATGTCACATCCAGACGATTATCATAGCACTACATTTTCGATCAAAAACAAGTTAAAACTTTTAAAACAACAAAACTTCAGAATTCCCTTTTTAGTGTTTTCACTATCTGGCTTTACTCTTTTGGTCCGCAGTCTTCGTAAGCATTACATCACCCCAAAAAGGAAAACAAAAGAGATTAAAAAATTTAAAAAAAACGACCAATTAAAAAAAAAACAAAAAAAACAAAAAACAAAACAGGAATGTTGTTCACAGCCACTAAACTCCCCAATTGAAGGCTTGAAGTGTTTCCTTTTTTTTTTGTTTTAGAAAACAAAAACACAGTCTGTTTGAAGTACCGCATTATTCAATTGTAATTTGTAATCCTATACCGCCCGGCGGCTTGGCCATCACCTAAATTGATTCACAGACTGACAACACTCATCACTCAGACAGAAACGCACTGTGTAGTACAATCACTCAGACAGAATCGAGACTCGAGAGTGAACAAATCCAACAATATTATTATTAAATGCTTTGAAACGGAATTAGAGGGTGCAACCCAACAGGGCGCCTTTCCAACGAACTGGTTGACTGGGTACCCCTTGCTCCCAGTTGCGGAGCAAGGGGTGCCCACTGCCCAGGCAAACCTGCATCCAGCCTTTGTATGCCCTGCAACTGTGGCTTGCGCCTGGTCCGCTACTGTGTCCCACGTCTGTGGCCTGCACCTGGACCAGCCGCCCAGCTAGGTAGACTAGTTGTTATAAAAGTAGAGGACACGAAGACAAAATGGAAATATTCTTAAAAGAGAGGAAAGAGGTCAACTACACCATAAAACAACAGCACACACACACACACACACACAGAGAGAGAGAGAGAGAGAGAGAGAGAGAGAGAGAGAGAGAGAGAGAGAGAGAGAGAGAGAGAGAGAGAGA